TGCCTCAAGACAATCATTCGATCTTTCAAGTGGCTGTTAACAACAAGACGTGTTGACTTTGTAAAGCGAAATCAACAGACAACCCTAGTAAATACATTTGAAAGAGTAGCCTCCGAATTATTTTTCAGCATATATTTACTTGGCTCGCAGATTTCAAAAAATGCATTGTGTTTATTTTCTCTAGGTATGTAAATATATTTTATTCTTTGAAATGTCAAAATCTTATTTTTTTCTAATGAATGACAAAATACACATTTTTTTAAAAATTAATTTAAAATACCAAATCCTACCTTGACCTTGGTACTGCTTTCTGGAGCTTTGAATATGCCTTGGGTAGTTTGGCCATTCTTATGGATAAATTGAAGCAGCTAGAATGCATGAAATGAGATTTTGCATATTTTAAAATGTTCTATATATAACAGATATCATTTATTTAAAAACTACTTTTGTGTTGATAAAAAAATAAAATGAAAATTTGTCAAATAATTCGTCCATTATTTCAACGTTCCAGTTATGACCGGATTTGTGGTGTTTTTTTTTATTATGTTTTTTTTTAAAATTTAAACCAAACCAATCACGGCTAATGAAATAAATAAACTGATATTTAAAAGCTCCACTATCAAGTCATCAAAAAATTAACTTTGAATCTAAATTAATGTAAATTAACATAACACAAAAACGTACCAAGCTTAACAGAGAAGGAATTGTAAGATGTGGTCCATTATTCTTAAACGAGGTGTCTTTTTTCATGAGAAGATCCAGAGGTAAACCAAATAGTTGGTCTTCTGTTAATTCTGTTAATTCTGAAAAAAATTAAAAAAAAAAAAGAACTTAACTAAATAATAGTAGGCCTAGCTAGAAGAAGTTTTTTATTGTCTGCTATTTGTGATTGTTTGAGACAAGACATTGAAAAATTCTTTAACGGTAGACTCACCCTTGTAAAATAATACCCCTCTCTCCCAATTGTGATAATCCGAATCATCTCCCTTGTTATTGGACATGCGACAGCTCAAGCAAAATCGTGATTTTGTATTCACCCACCTAACTCTCCTATAATTTTTCTAGGTGGAAGGTCGATTCCGTAATATTAGACTGATTGTCATTGGATGGGAAAATAAACACATTTTAATTCAACCAATTAAAATTTGTTCCCGAACTTCAATAAAAAGCTTAAACAGATTAGAATGTGTCCTTTTATGATTCTTCCACTTGGTTTTAGACTGATTGTCATTGGATGGGAAAATAAACACATTTTAATTCAACCAATTAAAATTTGTTCCCGAACTTCAATAAAAAGCTTAAACAGATTAGAATGTGTCCTTTTATGATTCTTCCACTTGGTTTTGAAAGCTATAGCCTACTATACTTATCACTTTATTAGCGTAATCAGTAGCTGCAACCAAGAATACTACCTGGTTGTATTCTTTCGGAACCCACGCACCTTGAAGCTGGAACTAGGGGATCGTTTGTCATGTCTCACGCCTAATAGCCTACGGCTACGACAAGGACCGCGAGATTCAGGGACTCTTACCACCCACGATTTATCACTGGAGAGTCTACTCCCCCACTACAAAGATTACACGAAACTCTTGGAACAACAAGAAGTTGACGCCGTCTACGACCAGGAACGCCTACTTCGCTTCGCTTTGAAAAGCCCCGAAGACAGGAACGGAGGACTCACTTCTGGAACGGAAGAAACTCCAAAACTTACTGATCCGTCGAGATCAACTGAGAAATTTTCTAAGGCTAAGTCCACTTCGCTTGAACATATGACCTTGAGCAAATATACCATTTATAATGATGATATTATCAGCATTTTATGGACATTAATTATCAAATAACTTACATTCAAAATTTTGCTAAATTCCATTTTGTATATATTCTTTAACAAAGGTGTGAACTACAAAGTTAATGTAAATACCCGTCGTGAATAAATACTTGCAGTTATTTGCCCCTTTGACAAAGACTTCGTTTCAGTCTATATCAGGGGTCTCAAACTTGCGTCCGCAAGACGATATTTTGCGTCCCGGGACATGACAGCAAATTTAGTGTTAATGTGGCCCGCGTTGTTTCCCCATTCAGATATCTATAATGTGACCCTCCGCGACGGTTTCAGGTGAACCTCACTGACTAGTCTAATTCTGATATTTATTATGTTTGTATAGATTTGGACGTTGATTATAATAGTAAAACCAGTGTTAAAATCTGTCTAAAAGTGTTGAATTTGTAGTATGTAGCAATGTATGCAACAAACATGGCCATAGTGCGGTTTTGAGAAAACACGCTTAGAATATTTTACATACATATTTCAAAATTTTAAAAAAGTCAGTTAGTGGGCAATGCACATCCTTAATTATGAAAATCGAGCTGACGCAGTATAAAAGAATCCCCATTAAATTTGCCGCTAATGTTTACGAATGGAATAATAAGACACGAACAAATTGTGTCAATAGAACAATATGAGTTAACTTTAATAATAATTATACATTATACACAATTAAACGTTTCGGCACATGCCTTCATCAGTACAAACAAACAAAACACATTTAAATAAGTATAAATTAAATTTACATAATATCAATATACATATCCTACCTAAAACAAAACAAAAAAATATAGGAGAGGGCGCTTAAACCAGACAGAAACAAAGTAAAGAGAAGTAGAAAGGAAGTGATTTTAACATAATTGGAAAAACAAAACAGGAAAAAGACATGGCAGCTAAGTAAAACTATGGATTTGGTTCAATCCATATGGAGACAACGTACCAAATCTAGTTATTAATTTGTTCTCCATATAAATTCTATCTACAGTGTTACTAGTATAGAGTATACCAGTAACTACAATATCTGAGATACCATAATGGTTAGGGCTATTGAAATGTTTGGAGACCGGACAGAGAGCGTGTTTATTTATGTTATAGAGGTGCTCTCTGAATCGGTCCCCAAGGCGACGACCTGTCTCTCCTATGTATAGTTTACCGCACTTTTTGCAAATAATGGTGTAAATCCCGTTGCGACGTGTGCAGGTAAAGCCATTTTTTATTCTGAATACTCTCAGAGGGAAAGTGATCGTATCAGTTTCGATCACGTAGGGACATGAGTTACAATGGCTACGGTTGCAACTTTTTGTGCCTTTATGTGCTTTAATAGCAGGGAGGTGGCTTCTAACTAGCATGTCCCTAAGGCTCTTGTCCCGCCTGAAAGCGAAAAGAGGAGGTTTTCTAAAAATATCATTTGTGACAGGGTCCGCCAAAAGAATTGAGCGGTTTTTAAGAACCAGAGAGCGAGCTTTTAAGTTGTGGGGAGGAAAATTTAAGATAATTTTTTTTTTTTTTTTTGTATGGAATACTTGATGCGACCCATTCTCACTCCGACTATGCTTCCTGCGGCCCCCGGATGATTTGAATTTGATACCCCTGGTATATATGTATAGATAGGTTATTATGTTTGTGTGGTAATTTGGCTTAATTAAATTAATCCCCTAGACCAGGGGTCTCAAACTCAAATCATCCGGGGGCCGCAGGGGTTAAATTTGAGTGAGACTGGACGGCATCAATTATTCCACAAAGAAGCGATTACAAATTCCTCAAAGTACAACTATTGCAACCTGCCCAACCTTTATTAATAACAAATAAAAACATTAAGGGTTCTCAAGAACTAGGCTTAACGTCACTTTCTTCCTCCTACTCCTTTCTGCTAGAGACCTGGTAGAGCTTCTTCTTAAACAGCTGAGCAAAATTTGGATTGAGTGAGGAGGCAAATTAGACCCTCAGTGTAGCTTGAAGACGCTCATGAATAACTTTGGCCTTGAATGTTGACTTGTCAAAGTTCAAAGGGGAAAACAGATAGCTACTCCAGAAAAAGGCATCTGATCCGCTTGAACAACTTGGAAATTGCAGGGAAGGTGGAGGGCGCTTTTCTCATAAATTGCCCATGCCTGTATGATTTTCCATTTAACTCCCTGAACTTATAATGGGACTAAAGGTCAATCAGCTCTAGTTGAAGCGCAAAAAATGGAATGGGGTTTGGGGTATCTTCCACATTCAAGGAGAAAGGGTCAGCCAAAAGTTGAAAAGTTGTTCTGTGTGTTTTGAAGTCTTTAAACATATGATCAATTTCTCCCTGTAGCTTTGCAATGGCATCTAAATACTCTCTACTAAATTGTGCGCCCGACTCCATGGGTAATGTGCATGTTGTGATATTGCAGAGGTTTTTCTAAGAACAATAACACAATTTTTATGCAGAATGCCCAGACATTAATCATAGGTACCACTTACAAGCCACCCCTGGTCTGATACCTTCTTGTTGAGTACATTCTTCTCCTGTGTAATGTCAACAAGAAAAGCCAAGTCCATGAGTCATTTTGGATCAAATAGTACAGGAAAAAAAAGCTCATCCTTCTCCCTGAAAGCTGACAGGCTCGGAATTTCCGTCACTCGTCAACACCATCGGCAATTTTAATAGGGATTTTTTAATACTGTGTCAGATTGCTACGATCTACACAATTATGTTTGAGCATTACCCACTAACTGACTTTGATATATTTTTCAAAAGCGCACTTTTGCCATCATTATAATCAACGTCCAAATCTATACAAACTTAATAAAAATCAGAATTACACTAGTCGGTGAGATTCGAATAAAATTGTCGCGGAGTGTCACATTATAAATATGAGAATGGGGAAAGCACGCGGGCTGTACTAACACTAAACTTTGCTCTCATGTAGCGGGCCGCAAAATATCGTCTTGCGGGCCACAAATGGCCGCGGGCTGTGAGTTTGAGACCCCTGCCCTAGATCGAGTGACAAGAGGATATCACATACAATAGATACCTTTCAAAGTCAAAACATAAGTCAGACCACCACACAATTCTGGTTCTGGTAGTGTTCGTTGCTGCATCCATATACTGGCATTTGTACAACGGTTGGGGAGCGATGTTGCTATTCTAACAGCTCCTAACAGACGCCAGGGCAGCCTAGAAGCTTTCGACTGACGTCGAGTCCCCAGCAGCATTGTCCAGGTGGTTCCAAGCAATTATTGTGCGTAGGAATAATGATTGTTTATACTGCATTGTGTTGCACCGAGGCACGATGAAGCACTTGCTGTTACTTCGGTTGTAATTGTTTATGAGGTTGTCAGTGGTGAAATCAGTGTTCAGTGAGCGTTTTGCTCTGATCAGTCGACCCGGCTTCTGTGGGGTAAGGTATGTGCCTGCTGGGATGGCCGGCACCAGTCCCATGACCACTTTATATAAGAATATCAGGCGGAGTCCCTCTCGTCTGTCGTTAAGGGAGGGATGTCAAATCTTTTTAAGAGGCCAGTGACAAAGCAGGAAGTGGTGGACTTGTAGTCCCGTGCGATAAAACGCACCGCGTTACGTTGGATTCACTCCATCTTGTCCACGTCTTGTTTTAAGTGTGGGTCCCAGATGATCGCACCATATTCTAGCAGTGAACGGACGTGTGCAAGAAAGGCATTTCGTTTGGGCTGCGCCTATTCGTACCCGGATACCAGAAGTGAGAGATTGGGATTAAAAAACTATTCAAAATATTATTGTTGGGTTTGCAAGACAAAATGAGGTATCAAATGAAAGATAATTGAATGAACTATATGGTTTTAAAATTACTTCTTCAATTTAACTAAAATAAACTACCGACATCCGAATAGCATTTATTCTAAATGGTCCCGGACACGCAGCACCGCAATTCGCACCCGGGTCCCATTAGACCAATGCTATTCGGATGTCAATCGCAACCTCTCACTTCTGGTACCCGGGTACGTTTCGTTTGCAGGAAGTTGGGCGGTGGCGCAGATTTCTTCGAATGAAACCAAGTGTGGAGGTGGCTTTTTTTTAAATTTTATTTATATGGGGGGGGGGGACCATTTTATGTTATTTGAGAAGAGAATTCCAAGGTATGGATTTTTTTATACGTGTTGGAGAATTGTCTCGTTTAGTTAGTACATATAGGTTGATGTTTTTTTTTCTCTTGACATGCTCATTGTGAAGCATTTGGTTTCATTAAATTTAATGCCCCATTTGTTAATTCACTTGTTAAGAATAACGTTTTGCGAGCCTTTGACTTCCTTGAAGGGATGTCATTAAATTCAATTTGGTTATGTTGATGAACTTTTATAAGGCTAAAAGATCTTATTTTTATCTCAAAGATCATTTGAATGAACATTTAAACATTACCTCTTCCTGATCTCGCTTAAAAACTGCTATTGCTGCAATTACAGAATTAATTCTGGGGCAAGGTTTCAGCTTCATTATTTTTTTATTTTAATAATTTATTTATTTGTCAAATATTTTATTGACGAAAATACTTGAGCGAGTCTATTCAATAGGTTTGTTAAATGGGTCTTTTCAATGGCTTTGTTTAATGAGTGTATTCCATGGCTTTGTTTAATGAGTCTTTTCAATGGCTTTGTTTAATGAGTGTATTCCATGGGTTTGTTTAATGGACCTTTTCAATGGCTTTGTTTAATGAGTGTATTCCATGGGTTTGTTTAATGGGCCCTTTCAATGGCTTTGTTTAATGGGTCTATTCAATTATTCTATTTATTGGTCTATTCATTTGGACAATTCACTTGTCTCGCCTATTGGAATATTCAACGGGTCTACTCAATGGGCCCATTTAATGGGTCTTTTCAAATGGTCTATTGAAATGTTACATTAAGAAATGGCACCAGCGGAGTGGCACATTGGAGATGCCCACTCTTCAGGACGGCCCCCACACGGGCCCCTCACACAAGTCCCCGCCTGGGCGCTTGGACGCTCGACCAGGACCCCGCCTGGGGGCCGCCCCAACGGGGAGGCACCCGGTCGATCCGACACTATGCGTTTAAACAGTGCACTCGATCGACTTTCTCAGGAGTTGAGATGGAAAAATTTACGTCCTAATATCTTCCCCCACCCATCCCGGGAAAGCGTCGGACGCCCTATAAGAGGGATTCCACAGTGGGCTTCCACAACGCGACTAGTTCACGCTGTAGCTGGGACGAAACGGTTGCCTAGAGGCAGCGTTCTCACGGCTGCATCAAATGGCCTATTCAATGGACCTAATCACTGGGTCTATACTCTTCTATTATTTTCTCACATTTAAATGCCCCCAAAAGGTAAGAAACAAACCAGGGTAGAATTACGTGAAGGATTTTATAAACATTACTGATACCATACAAATAAATCACATAGCTTTCCTTAGCCATCATACTTACTTCTAGTTGATTTGTTTTCCTTGAGAAGTTCCTGAACTGTTTTGTCGAAGAAGCGCATACGGCAATAAAAGTTAAATTCAGCTTGTGCCAATATTCTAATTGTCTCCACATTTTGATCACTGAGGTAGCTGGTGAATGTAGTCCCAAGCTGCTCTACGGGGAAAACCCATGGCTGCAGCCATAAGCAATAGTTTCTAACTAATTATGTTTATTGTAAGTTTAAATAAACAAGACATTTTTTTCTATTGTGGATAAAAAATATCAGATAGACAAATTTGTGTTCCAATATTTTAAATTCTAATCATAATTGAACTGCTCATCATTCATTTTTGGACAAATTGGGTCATTTTACACTAATATGTTTGACACAATGGGTCATTTACCAATAATATGTTTGACACATTGGGTATGCTACCATTAATTTGATTTACTGTTTAATATAAATATCAGTTAAAAAATTTTGAAATTTAAATTAAAATAAGTTTAAGACTAAGATCTGTCTGGTGAAAACAATATCCAACTCTAAAAATGTATGAAATACTTTAAAAAAAGAATCATTCTCTTTTCTGTAATTTGTTTTTTAAAGTGTAAGGGCTGTGGTAAGAAAATAGGCAATATTATGTTATTTTGGTATCATATTGTTCCATAAGCTAACATCAGACAAGATGATATTGCTGTAAAAACTCACTTCTAATTTATCAAAGTGGTACATAAGATAACATCAGACAAGATATTGCTGTTAAAAACTTACATCTAGTTTTTCAGGTATAGGATACGCGAACTTGTAGTGACGGACAGGCACCATGTGTTGTGTCACTTGCCCCAGGCAACACTTCAAATATGTGAGTATGCCATGACCTCGATGACCTAATAGGGCACTGTTCTGGGGAAGTTTTGGTTTCCATTTATAAGATGAGGTCACCTTGTTGAGATATGGATGGACATCCATTAAGTCGATGACGACATTTAGTACAACATTCATTTAACTCATTGAAATATATCAATCTCAAACCATTAAATGTACAACATTCATTTAACTCATTGAAATATATCAATCTCAAACCATTAAATGTACAACATTCATTTAACTCATTGAAATATATCAATGTCAAACCATTAAATTTTACCAATTATCATTATGCAAGCTTAACATACTTTTAATAGCAGTATTTTGTATTTCATGTTTGTTATTCAACAATAATAAATGTTCAAATAATCCTCCTTATAAATGATGAATTTAAAACACCATTCCCTATTCATTGCCTTTAGATGTGGAAAAAATCTTGTACAAAAATATCCATTGACATAATCTGTGTTTGTTCACAAAGAACGAAATTATTACAATTGTTATTTGAATCAAATGTTTTCAATTTTTTAAGTATAAATCTGAAACCTGGACGCCATCTTGTGAAGTCTTTGTCCTGTTTTGTTGTCCCCAAGAGGAATAAATGGGCTGACCACTTCTACAAACATGAGTTGTCTCCCGGGGGTAAAATGGGTTAAGCACTTTTACTGAAATGAAGATTTGTAAGAGTTTATTTTGTAAGAGTTTATCTTGTAGGTGTCTACTTAATAAGAGTTCTAATGAATAACTAGTTAATGAAAACTTTAATTTTCTTAGATGTCTTCTATCCCCTGAAACTCTGTATCTGGAAATAAAATGGCAGAAACAGAGAAGGATCATGATGACATGTTGCCGTTCATGGATATGACACATCCTTTGAGGTACCTGTTGCTAGGCAACCGTTTCGCCCCAGCTGCCTCGTAAATTATTTGCGAGGCTGAAACTCCCTATAGCATTCCCCTTTAGAGGGCTTCTGGCGATTCCCCGGGATGGAAGGGGGAAGATTTTAGGACGTAAATACACCATCCCGAATACTAGGGAAGTCGACTGCTGACACTGTGAGAGAAGTCTCACTGGCCAACCAGATGTTCTTGGACTGGGATGGTCTCCGTTGGTACTTGATCGAGTGGGTGCTGGCGAGGGCTGTCATGGCAAAGGGAGAGCTGCAAGGTGCCGCTTCGCTGCCCAAATGGACCCGGACACGCATCGCTGCCATTCTCACCAAGGTCCCATTAGACTCAATGCTATTCCGATGTCATTTGTGGTAGTTTATTTTAGTTAGACGGAAGAAGTAAGTTTACAACAATATAGTCCATTCAATTATCTTTCATTTCATACATCATTTTGTCTTGCAAACCCAACACTAATATTTTAAATAGTTTTTAATCCAAACCTCTCACTTCTGGTACCCGGGTGCAAATAGCCACTTTGAATCGTAAAATGTCACGTGTGTAAACAAAAAATAACGTTCCTCACACAGGATGGCATTGCGAGTAGAGAGAACGTCTTTAATAACAATTCTTTACACCACTAAGTGTGTGTTTAGTTGAATATTTTTATACGTAAGTGTTAAGGGCATGCAGTAGGTGAAAGTTTTACTCGCTATCAAAGTGGTCCGCAAAGACTCTAATGCTTGGCACCACCGCCTACAAAATGATTAACTGGTTTACACACAAGCAAACAGTCATGGCGTACAGATGGTATTCAATGGTGTTCCAGATTTGACAAGGTCTAAGACAAGAAGACTCACCCCTGTATAATTTTCAACCTCACATGACAAGAAGTGTATACGAACATTGCTCGTGTTAACACCGGGGGAACGCTAACGAATAAGTCCACAGAATTTTAAAATGATTAAAACCAAAAGAAATTCTACGAGGCCTATCGTTACGATATCTAAGACTTGCATATAACAAAGCTTTATATACAGCTGAAGATAAAAAAGCAAGGATATTTAAAAAGAATATAATAAATTTGACGACTACTTAGAACAGTCTGTGTTAGAAATGAGTTTATCAGAAATTCAGAACTTTGAAATGTCAAGTGACAGACACGCGAAGAGAGGGAGAGATAGAGATAGAGAGAGAGAGAGAGAGAGAGAGAGAGAGAGGGGAAAAGGAAGGGAGGGAGAGAGGGGTTGAGAGTGGGAGGGAGAGACAGAGAGAGGGAAAGAGAGAAGGACAGAGAGAGATAGAGAGAGAGAGGGGGAGAGGGACTGAGAGAGGGAAAGAGAGAAGGACAGAGAGAGATAGAGAGAGAGAGGGGGAGAGGGACTGAGAGAGGGAAAGAGAGAAGGACAGAGAGAGATAGAGAGAGAGAGGGGGAGAGGGACTGAGAGAGGGAAAGAGAGAAGGACAGAGAGAGATAGAGAGAGAGAGGGGGAGAGGGACTGAGAGAGGGAAAGAGAGAAGGACAGAGAGAGAGGGTGAGGGCGAGAGAGGGGGAGATATTTATTTAGACATTTTTATATAGCGCTTGCCATAAAGCTCTAAGCGCTTTACACTAATTAAAAACATGTAAACTAAGTAAATACAAATGAGACACTAGGATAGTAACTATTATACTATAGAAACCATTAAAATGGCTTATAAAACGAGGACACTTTGGCACGTTTTGGCCTATACTACAGGATCAACCCGAGACAGAAAATGAGGCAGGGCAAGGAGGGTGCATCACAGGTCGTAGGCGGACCTAAACAGATTAGTTTTAAGGGACTTTTTGAAAGTGGACGAGGTTTCACAATGACGGATATGGAAGAGGAGCTGGTTCCAGAACGTGGCGCATGGAAGTAGAAGGAGCGTTCACCGATGGTCTTAGTTTTTGTGATATACGTGATCTAACATCATAATATAAAAAGACATACGTTTGAGAGCCGGCTTATGTTATAATCTAGCAGTTCCAATACACGATCACACTGGAGAGATAACAATAGACAACGGTTCATATTTTAGCCTGTGAATAAATACCCGAACGCAGATCAATTTAGATAAAGCCTCCACAACTCAAAATGTAAGGTGGGCTGTAATACTTCATGAAAACTTGTGTGTGCCAAATGAAAATAGAACCGGGGGGGGGGGGGGGAGATATAAAAAAAAAAAAAAAAAAAAAAAAGGGGGGGGGGGGGGGGGGGGAGATATTAAGAAAATAATAACAATAAAGAATAGTTCGTTACTTTGCGGGCCTCACAGTGGGTGCCGGCTGGCCGTATGTTGTGTAGGTCTGATTTAGATAGTCTCAAAGAAAATTGTTTAACTTAAATCTTAAAGTTTGAAATCGACTACTTCATCCAGAAACATGGACTGATACCTAGAATGTCAAAATCTTGTACCATACTTACTGCGGAATGTAAATCGTCAGCCTGTTGTACTGACCTATGCAGGAAAGTTAGGGATGCGAGTACCCAGTGCGCACCCACCAATAACTTAATCAAATATATCAAGATCAAACCAACGTATTGAAAGTGGACGGCATGGGCGGGCACCCCGAGAGCCACCGAGAGGGTGCAGGCCACCAAGTGAGTCAAGGCGGTTCATAGCCAGAAATGCGTAGATGATGTGGAGCAAGATTCGCCCCACCAGGGTTTTGAGGTTTGGTCGATGTAGTGTTGTTGCTGGTGTCAATTAATTATTTATAGTAACAGTGAAGCTATTCGTTTTTTAAAATCTTGTATGAAAATGGCGATAATTTTTTTGTTACCTTTATACTAAAGTTTAACGCTTGCATAGTGATAAAATACTAATTCAAGTTAAAATATAGTTAACTAGCTGGAAATAATATGTTAATTATATCATAAATAAGTGTAAATAGTTTTAAACAATTTTGTTAACCAGAATCAATGTTACCATCGAACACATCGTGATGCCTTGGGTATGAATGGACCTTGTTCAGACTGCATGTAACTGATTGCCAGCTCAAACGTGCGGCTGGGGTGACCAGATCCTTTATAGGTGCGGCTCCTAGTCGAGAGAGCAGCTGCATGTTCGCCATTGCTATCTTCTTTCAGGAAATGGATTCTGTTGTGAAGAGCGACGTCAAAGACTTTAGAATTAGAGATTAATGTGACGTCATTGGTAGTGCGTGGTTTCGAAGTTTTTTGCTAGGAGAGGTAAACATGAAACCAACAAATAGATACAGAAGGCACCGGTAAAAACAGTACTCCAAATTCCACATCTTAAACACGTATATGTGTTCGTATATTTGTTCGTCAACGGTGCATGGCCCAGGTATGCATGGGTTCCCAGAAATCAAAAGAAGATATGTTGGATAGTTCGGTCTCTCAACGGAGGAATGAGTAGTCCTAGTTGAGTCTTATTTTTGCTCCTAGTAGTGTTTGTGAATGGGGATTCCCTTGAACATTTCATCAGAACAATATCCAGAAGAGATTTTTTAAGGCGACACTAAATAACACAGTTAAGCAGTATATTGTTGCGAAATCTCGCCAGCTCGAAAAGATACCTTGTCATCAGAAATTGGGGTTTGTGTTAGACCATTAAGAGAATTCGCCTTTCATCGGAGACTACACATTCCAACAAATTGAAAGCCTAGCACACAATGGGACACGTGTTCCACATTACACCATTCTGGTCGGCATATCTGGCTCGATCAAGTGTGGACCACAGACCCGGATTTACTATAAGATAAATAATCTAAAGCTTATGGCATCAATAAACTTTAGCATAGGACCTCAATAAGATCTAGCATAAGGCCTCTATAAGCTACAGCTTAGGGCCTCATTAAGCTAAAGCTTAGGGTCTCATTAAGCTAAAGCTTAGCGTCTCATTAAGCTAAAGCTTAGCGTCTCATTAAGCTACAGCTTATGACCTCAATAAGCTTACTCTACGGGCCCCAGTAAGCTAAAGATTGGGTCCTCAATACGATCAAGATTAACATACTTATTTGAAACCAAACTGTAGTCATCATGGTGAGACATCTTAATACGACACTTGTATAGGCCTGCATTTTCATAAACTGGAAATAACCCCCCAAAATTGTTACACAACATCATGGTGGAGAACACTTCCATGCCATAGTTAAATAATAGATTGCAAGAATCCATTAGTGCGTCTTATAGTGTTTGCCAAACTTTTAAGTTTTGATGGACTTGATAACACGCATACCATGGCACCACAGGCCCGTGCCAGATATTTAAATTTTTTTAAACCTAAAATGTTTCATACATTAAAATGCAAACTCAAATATCTATGCCAATTGAAGTATCGACATGTTCTGTATCGCCTCAAGTATCTACAGGTCTTTCTTCTATGCAAACTCAAATCTATGCCCATTGAAGTATAGACATGTTCTAAGGCACCGCCCAGCCACATCCTGATAAACTCATGACCCAGCTGCGAGTCACAGCTTGATTGAAAGACCACTTTCGTGAAAATTGGGTAAGCGATTGTGCCACAGGAGAAACTGGACGACAGCATCATTGGAAGATGCCGCGACCGAGCAAGAGTGACCACTGGTTGAGGCTAAAGCGAGGCTAGCAGAGCCTGATCAACCTGATGAGGACAGGCCATTACGCGACGAGCAGAGCAGCTACCTCCTTAGATTTGACGACAGAGGGAACCAACCTTCCGATTTTGTGGCGAGAAAGAAGAAACAGTGGCTCATCTGGTGGTTGACTGCCCCGGCAGTGGGAAGTGGGC